TGAAATCTCAAGAATTAAATTCATCTCTGCTACATATACCATGAACTATCCTTCACGTTGACTATTCTAATAGTACATGTTACTTGACAATCACAATAAATAACGTAATCGGCAATCGCATGGTTCTTCGAACATTCTTATGTGCAATCTGAAAGTAATGGACAGTGATCAATCTCAAAAAAATCTCTAAACAATAAAATATCTTATGATAGCATAAAAGATGGAAATATTCTTTGGAATCAGGTACATATCAGGAGTAAGCATCCTTTGTTGAGCGGTAACACCCACCGTCATTCTTCAAGTTTAATTTTCTTTGTGAAATCTCGTACAAAAACAAATTTTAATCTAACAAATAGTATGAAACAATTAAAACAATTTAGGATCCAATAATAGATTTTAGGTTTACAACATTCTTAGGAAAATAATTTTTAAAAGGAAAGATAATTGATTCTGATTCTTATATTTTAAATGATTTGTAAAATTCATCAACATTGATAAATGTAAAATAGTATTATTTTATTTTCGGGTTAGGATCCTTTGGATTTTTTTAATAATGCTTAATCATCCTCTATTAGTGTAAATTACTGCTGTAATAAAATACTTTAATTTCAACATTTCTTTTTTTGGCTTACCTAAGCTGATGACTAAATTGAGCTTTTCTTATCAAAATATGACCGTTGTCCGTCGTCCATATTGTCGTCGTTCTCGTTGTAAACTTTTCACATCTTCATCTTCTTCACAAGAGTAACCGTGCCAATGTCAAGCAAACTTGATGCAAAGTATCCTTGAGTGAAGAGGTTTCGAGTTTGTTCAAATGAACGGCCACACCCTCTGACGAGGGGAGATACTTCTAGATAAGTGAATAAGTTACAAATTTTTGACATCTTTTAAAAATTTTCTTCTCGAGAACCACTGCACTGGGACAAGAAAATGAAACTCATGTGGAATCATCCTCAGGTGTAGTTAATTCAAGTTTGTTTAAATTATGACTCCTGGGAGTAGGGTTGGGCCGCCATGAACGATCAAAGTTTTACAGATGAATTTATAGGAAAAGCTTTTTTTTTTTTTCTTCTCAGGATCGGCAAAGCCATGAGTGGTGATACATGTATAAATATCTATCTAAACATCCTTAGGTAGTCTTAATTTAAGTTTATTCATATCATGACACCTAGGCATAGGCTGGAGCCAAAACGGGCAACCAAAGTTGAGCATAAACATATATAAGAAAAAAAGAATCTTTAAAAATAATCACAAACAAAACAGCCATAATCGGTGATATGTATATGGAAGCATCCTCATGTAGTGTAGATTCAAGATTGTTCAAATCGGAGCGTTAACTCCTGGGGGTAGGGTGGGCAAAAATTTTGTGATAAATTTTTACACAGGATTGAATACTTAAATATCTTTTAAAAATTTCTGGAGAACAGCAGATCTATGATTAGTGTATTTTTATGGAACTAAGATAAGCATCCACGGATGATTTAGGTTAAGGTTTGCTCAGATTATGATCTCCGGGGCTAAGGTGTGGCCACAATGAGGGTTCAAAGTTTTACATAAGAATATATAGGAAAAAGTCTTCTCAAGATCAGAAAAGTTATGTTTCATCAAATTGACATGTAGGCATCTGAATGTATTGAAGATTTGTGTATTCTTACTAAGTGTGCATTTATAATTCCCACGATTCAGAAAAAATGAATTCTAATGTATTACATCACTAACATTCTACCCTAAATATTTTGGAAATATACAGGGCCAAATTTTTATTGAATTATTCCCTGTTCTTTCTGCTTGAAATATTGCATGTTATTGCTTTAGATATTTGATTCAGGGTCATGTACCAAGGTTTAAAGGTAACTAGTTAAAGTGAGTATCTATAACATCGATATTTTGATTAACCTGACTTCACCAAGAGAATCTCTTTCAATAGCCTACACAATATTCTTAATTCTCGAAATAAGGTCATGATAGAAAGGTTGGGGTATTTTTTTTTTTTATAAATTTAGTTGAGCTGGGTCACAGCTTGGGCTACTTTAGGAAGCTCTAAATACTGAACACTAAAAAGTTCTATTTAAACATGTTAAAGGGCACATGCAGTTTAAGTATTCTGCCCTTAGAAGTAAAATAGAGAAATGGTTATAGTTGTATTTACAGTTAATTACACAATAGATTCAACTTTCTTCACATTATATCAAACCAAGAATAACTAAATCGAGTCAATTTTTTCCATTAATTTTCCTCCAACAGCAAGTAGTGGCGTCTCCATATGAGTGAAAAATTTTCAAGAGGGACGTTTAACAACAATCACTCAATCCACTCATTTTCTTTATGTAAGTAAACAGCACTGATTTCTGATCTCGAATAACTGAATTGTCTTTTTAATTCAAAAATAACCTTCATTAATTTAAGGAAGTATAATTCTCATATACAATTTTACACCATGCATAATTATGATGTAAGTTGGTAGTGCTTTAAGATGAACGACTAACCTTTTTGAATAATGTAATAAAAAAGTGAAAAGGTCTAAAAATGAAACAATAATTTTAATAATTATAATTGATTACAGTCATATTTAAATTATTTGACATTTATATTTAATTAATGCTGTTTGCATTTTTTTTGAATGAGTTATGATGAACAAATGTTATTAATGATGATTTGTATATAGTTGAAAAAATTGAATTAAAAACTTATTATTATATTATTGAAGTCCAGTCATGTCCATCTCAGCCATGCATGCACCGCTTTTGTAGATTGTATCCTGTGTAGGTTTGTAACCATCATTGTTCTAACATGTTCCTGCTTTGGACCAGGATAATCATTATGTAAAAGTTGTTTAAACAGACATATTCACTGGTACATAAAATGCTACATGTCATCAACATTTTCCATAAGTTTGGTCTGCCTTGCAGACCCATTCTACACAATCGTGAAAAAAAATTAAACATCTCCTAGAAATTCCGATCACTGACAATGGTGTATTCTTGAAATAAATATTTTTTTACCTGAATAATAACTGTTCCTTAAATAGAACGCAAATGGGATTCTCAAAATGCTCAATTTAGGTCTCACACAAGGAAATAATTTCACTATATGTTACTATATAGCTTAAATTAAATTAATTAATTAACTAGACTCTCAGCAGATAATTCACGAAATAGAAAATAAAGATTAATGCTTAGACAAAAATTTGAGATCAGAAAAAGTACCCCTTATGCAGCTTTTAAGAAAGAAAATTGAGAGTAAACATACCTACCCCGAAATACACGTGGGTTTCAGATGTTGACAAACAGCCTACACACCGTCCAGGAAGTTGTATCACGCGCACCTAAAAAAGAGTTCCCTTTAATTCAGTGGCACAATTCTGCTAAAGATATGATATCCCTAGTACATGAGTCCAAAATGAACATTGTAGACCTAAAAAAGTTGCCAAAAATGAAAAAAGAAAAAGAAATTTTCTCTATGTATATGGAACTTCATTTGACTAAGTTCATTTTGATTGGCTATTTCCTTGCGTAAGACCTCAAGTTGCTGATCTAGAATGGTAGGATACAATGTATATATATATATATATATATATATAGATATTTATGTAGTTTGTCAATGCAACATAGATCTGACGTTGATCGTATTCTAAATATTAGTAGATAATAAAGTGTGCTATTATTTGAAAGTATTTCACAGAAATTTCTTTTGTACTTGCAACAGCAACACTGGTCATCAAAATAATAACCGATTTCAAAAATTAAGTATCTAAGTGTAGTCTATTTGTTTCTTAAGTTAGATTGAAATCAGAAACAAATTGTAGGAGAATATTATGTTGAAAGTATTTCACAGAAATGTCTTTATTTACCACGGCAACACCATTCAAAAATAAAAAAAAAACGATGAATAGAATTAAGTATCTTATTGTAGTTTACTTGTGTGTCAAGTAATATTGAAATTAAATCAAAACTGTAGGAGGAATATTGTTTTGAAAAAAAAAAACCGGACAGACAGAGAACAATCAATCGCATAAGCTTTTCTGGTCTCTGAGGAGTAGAGTTAACAATTATACATACGCAGTATTTCTATTTTCATAACAATTGTTAGTCCATTATTTATACACTGAATTGACGACGGTTTTTTTTTCGTTTTTCCGATCATGTCAAGGGGCACATGGCGAGTGTGACCCGTCGGCAGGGGATGCTCATATCTCCATGGCCACTGATCACTCCTATGATGTTTCGGAGGTCCGTGTTTGCTCTGCTACTTTTTTCTTGTTTTATTGACATTTGATCTTGAATACTGTTTGTTATCTGCATATGTTTCATTCCACAAAATAAAAAAAAATATTTCAAAAATTTTTTTCAGACAAAAAATTATGGGCACATAGCTTGAGAGATAGAAAGTTAGATTCTTAATTTTATTTGCATGAGTTAAAAAATCAAATAAGGACAATAAATTCCTGTAGGTATTTTTTTTTTATTTCTTTACTACCGTCTGTGATATTTCAAGTACAATGATTTAAATCATACATTTATAACCTGATAACAGGTAAAATAAGAATGAAGATAAGGAAGTGAATTGTAATATGCAGGATTATTAGGGTAGCCATGATCGATTTTGAGGTGAGACAATATAAATATTTAGATTAAGATATACTCTAAGATCTTTTCAGATGATGTCATTAATAATACATTTATTTAGCTGAAATGCATGAGAGAGAGAGAGAGAGAGACACTTTACATAATACTGACTACATCAATTGTTTTCAATTTTATGAAGTGTAAACTTTTTCCTCAAATAATTTTTTTTTCAAACTTAAAGAAAGCTTACACTATATTTTTAGACTAAAAATATATCTTTCATGTTGTTCTTAAACCGACTTTGTCTTACAATTAAAGAAAAAAACCTTCATATTGTTATTGTTTAGATTTGCATAAAATTCCTCTAGCTTTCTGACCTAAGTCTCCATTTTACTTCAAACAGGGTCGTCTGCTCCTTTTACCAAAACACAAGTGATGGACCCCCTGGACAGAGCTACAGTACTCCTACCTTGTGACCTGTGTCAAAAAGCTGCCTTACAGAGTCATTGTGAACTTTGTCTGATTAACCTATGTAAGGCTTGTGTAGGGGAACATCTCTCTGATTCTTCCATCAGACACAATGTTGTACCTTACAAACACAGAACGTCTTCCCCTAACGTTAACTACCCATACTGTCCAAGCCACACCCAGAAAGGTTGTGAACTTTATTGTGAAAAATGTGACATTCCTGTCTGTTCTATCTGCATCTCTTCTAATGAACATCATGGACATAAATTAACAGATATCTTACAAAAACCAAGCTTCATTAAAGAAATTCTATACAAGGATTTGAAAGAACTAGAAAGACGAATACAACCTACATATGAAGAAATTGCATCAGATATAAAATCTGAAAAAGAAAAATTGGAAAAACACTATGAGAAACTGACTACAGCTGTCACCAAACAAGGAGAAGACTGGCACAGAGAAATTAACATCATTGTCAACAAACAAAAATTTGAAATTGATGAGAAGAAAACAAAACACCTGGCTGCTCTTAAACAGGAAAACGAAATCAAACAGATTACTTCAGAAGTAAAACACAGCATACATGATCTGAAGAAAATATTGGACTCCAATGATGCCTCCCTTACCTCTGCATACAAATCCATGAATGCTGAATTCAGAAGTTTACCTCCTAAAATTAATGTTTTATTACCAAATTTCTCTCCTCAACAAATCAACAGAGAACAGATCCATCGAATGTTTGGTTCTCTGTCAGCATTGTCCATCACAACAAACAAACATGGCTACACACTGAAGACACAAGAAGCTATATCCTGTCCTCCAGTCAAACCAATGCTTAATGAACCAGAGCTCATCACCACCATTAACACTGAGTATGACGTTCTATACAGTATTACCTGTCTCAGTGATGAAGAAATCTGGACACGTGGACATGACAAAATTATAAAACTCTACAACTTACAAGGCAAACCACTGAAGTCAATCCAAACAAAGTCTGGTAACATACCACATGACATAGCAGTAACAAGGAGTGGAGATCTAGTTTGTACTGACCCTAGTATGGGAACTGTAAACATAGTGAAGAATAAACAGATACAGGAAGTGATCACACTACAGGGGTGGAAACCTTACTATGTCTGTAGTACCTTCTCGGGCGACCTCCTGGTTACAATGGAAAGTGATGATAATAAACAATCAAAAGTTGTCCGTTACTCAGGCTTCATACAAAAACAAACAATTCAGTTTGATAGTGAAAGTAGACCTCTGTATTCATCTTCTATATTTAAATACATCAGTGAGAACACAAACTTTGATATATGTGTGGCTGACTGCGGAGCTAGTGCAGTGGTAGTGGTTAGTTAGGCAGGAATACTCCGATTTAGATACACTGGTCATCCCTCTACTACCAAGGGAACATTTGATCCACATGGCATTGCAACAGACAGCCAGAGTCAGATCTTGACAATAGATTTGAACAGCTATTATATCCACATCCTAGATCAGGAGGGACAGTTCCTTCGTTACATTAATAAATGTAATCTGCGGAATAAACACCATAAACTGTTTCTATGAAATACTTACATACGGCTGAGTTTGTCTCTAGCAATCAGGACTAATGTAGTAAGTACAATGTACTAATTTAGGAAGACTTAAAACCGTAGTATGCCAATCATATATGTAGTACCGGTACACTTTGACCTGTATAGAAAAAAGTTATGTCTACTATTGTGCAACAATTTAAATGATATCTCTAATTATGCCTGGTGTGCAATAAGTACCTTAACAGTAAGAGCAAGCTGTATATCATTAAATACTTTTCTACTTACAATTAAAGTTGAGCCTCATTATCTCTATATATTCAAGATTTAAAATTACAATGTTTGTGTTTTAGTGTGTTTTAAGTCCACTACAATTACTTTTTATATTTTAATTTCAATAATATATACATCTCGAATAATTGTATATATATATCAAAAATTTGTCATGGTCTCATTGGACATGAGATAACGAGGTTTGACTGTTTTTGCAAACTCAACAGAAACCTGGGTTAACTTAACAGTCATCATACTCTCCTTATAAGTGTTTCCACAAATCCGTAGTTGTTCTTATCCTAAACAAATAAGCAATCAAAGGTTCAATCCAAAAGAGATGTTTTATTTAAATGTTTTATTTATATAAATAAAGTGTGTCTCATTTAATGTATTTCTTCTTTTAAATGTGCTTATAAATGCTACATACATGTAGTTCCTTCTTTGATATGATTTGACATGAGTGGGATATCATTCTCATAATCTAAGGGATATATCCCCTGATAAAAGGGGGAAAATGTGTGATTGTCAATATCCTTGGGATTTATCCCATTAGAACAAATTTGTGGGAGAAATACCCCACTTGGAGAAAAATATCCCATCTGACACTTTTACTTCCTTGGGATATCTGATGGGACTGAAAATCAGACCATTCTCCCATGAGATTCTACATATGTTTAAAGACAGACGTGTTTGTGAGTTCAACATGACATCATGTGATGCTGTAAAAAAACAACTTTTTGATTTAACAATTACATATGGTGGTAAAAATTCTGGACTATCTCGTGTCAAAATTAAATGTGGCACAACTTATAACGTCCATCGGCCTTTTAGGATTTTATAGCGTGATCAGATTCATGCCATATCCCTATGAAACTATAAAAATGGTATCTCATTTCATAATTTATACACATCTGGAAAGTTTTTTTAATTGATAGTATGTATAAAATCTGAAACACGTCACTCTACAGAGTTCAATGGTTTATATTCAGGGCTGTATCATTATGAGATTTTTATTCTTAATGCTTTTTGTTGGTAAAGGTAAGATCGTACTTTTATTACAAATTTGTCAAATTTGCTTGATAATTTATTGTTTTGTTGTTCAAGATTTATCATGTACAGCCTTATTGTTTGATGTTTAATTTAGTTTTTTTTAATCAAATTACAACACTTTTTTGTTATGTTCCTTACTTTACATTATCTATAAGTATTTCTTTTGTTTCGTCTTGAAAAATATTTTCTGATGTTTCACTGTGCTTAAATGTGTATACCATTGCTATTTCTTTCCTAGTGCAAAGTATTTTGTGAAATCAAAAGGGCATTTGATAAAGAAGGAAAATCCATAACTTTGTTTAACGTTTGATAAAAAAAAATCCAATTCTTTTCAAAGATAGTTAATTAGGTTTAAGTTAGGCATTATATCCTTCATTTTTGACAAAGAAAGTACAGTTTGAACTTTATTGTGCCCTAAAAATTATAACTAAAAAGTTATGAAATTTGCTTTAACAATAGTTGAGTAGATGAGAATGATAAATCAACAAAGAATATGGCATAAAGGAGGACCGTTAAGGAAATATGAAGTCATTAATTTGGTACATTGCTAGTTAAATGCAGAAAAGCCTCAGAATGACTCATTTCTGGGCTAAATAGTTACTGCCACCGTCACCTGCTTCAATTTTTGGATATGTAAACTGCTTTGAAAAATCACATATCTCAAAATCTTTGTGGGCGACGGTGGCAGAGTGTGTTTTCTGAAAGAAAATATCACTGAAAATTGATGTCTTCCGCAACTTTTTAAGAAAAAAACCGGGAAAATGCACAAGTTTATGACTTCACAATAAGCATTTAGGAGGTAATATGAGAACAACGTACTTAACGATATGTGCATTTTTACTGAATGGGATTCCCATGATTTCAAAAACATGTATTTAAATTTCTTATATCTTTTTCATATTTAAGAAAAATGCAGGGCTTAATTTGTATTGAAACTGTACCTTGTTCTTATAATCGCAGATTTACTTAAAGTTTATAATTGGCTTTTTTATCATTATGTCTGTATTTATTATTTTAATTATAACTTTTCTGTCTGCCTTAATCATTCTAATTATTACTTTTCCAAAATTTCTTTGCTGTCTGTTTTGTTGAGTTCTGGTTCACCTCTGCAGGTTGCACAAGTCAATGGATGCGATTTTCAAACAAGTGCTATCTGTTTGTTACACGTTATCCTTTGAATTGGATTAATGCAATGGTAATTAACACTTTAGTATTTTATAGGACTTTCATAACAATATTTGAGTGTATTGTCACTTAATTTATAGTTGCTAGTGTTTCTTTTCCTTGGAAATGGGGCGAAAGAATATTATTGTGTCTTTCATAACGTAAAGCTTTAAACTTCTATTAATATATGTGCTGTTAAACATATATGTAGCCGCTTACATCTAAAATTTTAAACTTAAAATGCACACTTGAAAATGTTCGCCTTAGTTCAGATTCTAATGACTAAGATTTATTTAGTGGAATAATAATATAGGAAACGTTCTCGATAAAAAGAAGCTCTACGTCTTCTGAGTGAATCTGTAAATTTCAAACCCTTCACCGGTATAATTTTATGGTAACCCCCCTAAATGAGTGAAATATTCTTGACAGGGGCGTAGAAAACATCATTTAATCATATAATCTTATTCTAAGTTTAGGAAGGAACTGATTCGATGCCATATGCCATTCGAAATTAATGATACGTACAACAAATAAATTTTCTTACTTTTTGCATAAAAGAGCTACATTAACAAATTATTTTCAGGAATTGGTAGTATTTTTGAATTCATTAACTTTTTAGAAAAAAAATTGAATGTCAATGTAAACATGTACAAAACGAAGCAAATCCAAATACAGCAAAACTCGTTTAATACAAACACGGATATTTGCTATTTCATAGGTATTGCTAATCTTTCTTTGATCCCCAATTATATTAATTTTAAGAATAATCCCTTCTACGGATATGATCGACAAAGAACGGTGACTTCGTTTAAATCGAGTTTTACTGTGTAAGCGTTAAAGAAGGCCGTTTGAGAGGAAAAAGAAGCAGCATTGCAAGGAATTGCAATAAGCTATTTTGTCAACAACAAAAAAAATCAACGAGCATGCAGATTTTAGAGGGGACAACTATTTCTTGACCTTGATCAATATTTTTTTTTCTGTGTAAATATTTTGTTTTTGTTTTAATTAGTATGGAAAGTGTACCCAATTCATTATTTCTTTAAAAGCAATATATTTAAGGATTGTTTGTAAATATTTTACTTGAATTTTAATTTCAATTACATTGAAAACTCAATAAGGAAATTTTGCGTGTATTTATAAAATATTTGACCAACGAAATTGTTCTTCACAGTTTTATAATTTCGAATTGTTAGAAAAGACTAAAGATAATGATATTGGATTTTTTTTTTAAATTGTACCAGAAATCCCCACGCAATTTCGATGAACTGATCAATCATGAAAGTGTAAGATGCGCAATTTGTATTTGCTTGATTCATGATAAATATTACTCAAACTAATTTAAGTAAAATAAGATAATATTCATTGCCATGGTTACAGAGGGCTTTATAAATTAATAAACCAAAGAATTATGATTTAAGTGCAAAAATGATAATTGTACACTTCGGTAGTTAAAATTGCACTCTCAGCATTCCCCCATTTTATCCGATTTTGAGTCAGACTATATGAGTACTGATCTAAAAAAAAAAGAATAAAAAAACGTTGATATAACTTATTTCACAAGTGACGTACCTTAACTGTGCATCCCTAATCTCTCTGAAACGTTTTGAGGGTTAAAAATAACTACTTTGTGTCGCTTTTATTTAACAATACCCCATTAAACGACTCCTAGGTCTATGTCAGATTTCCAGTTGCAAACATTTATAGAATATTGGAAAAACAAAACCTTACCATTATTTTCAAGTATTGATGAGGCACGCCACAGAATGAGGTAAAAATTGCAAATTTTACGGAGCAAATGTGCATACCAAGTGCCTGAATAAAGGGGATTTAAGTTTCTTAATATCATATATGTACATGTGATTTTTTTTAGACTTTCTGCAAGGCGTACGGAGCAAAGTTAGCCGAGGTTAAATCAGCATCAGAAAACAACTTTCTGCGACATGAAGCCAAACGTCTGAGAGGTTTTATAAATATTAAGTTACTTAGATTTAAATTTTGTAAGCTAGTGTTTGACTTAACATCTAGCCATATTTCTACTCCAATATTACAATAACTGAGGCAGTTCAGTGTAAGTGTTATTTTTTTGAAAAAAAATTTAAAATGATTCTCTTTATTTTTTACTTGGGCGATGGATGTCCAAGGATGTTTATAATTGAGCTTTTTTGTACCCGAGAATTTAAGAATTTGAAGAAATTTATCCAGTAACGAGTGCACATTTTGTTTGCAAGGAATTTAATAAAGGCAATATATTTTTTCCTCAAGGTCCCAGCCATTGTAGTCTGATAAAATATTTTTTTTCGGAGAGCTGCAGTTCTGCAGCGACATTGTTTGTGGGAGTTTTTATCTCGTAGGTTAACTGTTTTCGATTACATCGACTTAATCGAGTATACAGGTTTTTCAGGAAGTTTCTGGCTGGGAGGTTCTGATATCATAATGGAAGGGACATGGAAGTGGATGACCTCTGACACAAGAATATATTATTTTACTTTGATACCTGGACAGCCTGATAATCATAGAGGCAATGAACACTGTTTGCATTTGGTTAGCAGTCATCTAAATTATTGGAATGATGATGCATGCAACAAAAAATATAATTTTATTTCTGAAAAATCTGCAGACCTGTATAACTTGTTTTTTTAATGAAATACGAATTGTGGGACAATTGAAAGGAAAACAAGCACTGTAAGTCAAATTAATATTAACACAAAAGTGTGTTTAATTATTCTCATATTCTGAAAATAATATTTCATAAGCATATATAGTTCAGGAACTTGATATAAGAAAGTCTTTTAAAAATTACCTTTCAATCATTTCCGGGCTTAGTCGGTAAATTGTCAAATATTTGCATATTGATTTTTCTTTGAATTTGAAATATTAAACTATGCACATATTCTTGTTATGGTGTTTTAAATATTTGGTTTATTTGACCCAAAATATGCATCTCTTTCTGTTATGATTTGAAATAAAGTTTATAATACATAAAATTAGAATACTTTTTGCTTCGTATTTAAACTTTTAAAAAGAATGAATAAGAATTAATGCTATTTCCTTTTTTTCAAGACATATTAAGAGGCAGTCCACCGAAAAACCAGGCAGTATTGTATTAATAGGCGGCACATCGAATGTGAGGAATATTTGATATTTTATGAAAAACAATATCAATGTAGTCCAAAAGGAATAATGTAATTGAAGATTTGTTTGAAAATGGCTTATTCAGTAAAATATCCTTGTGTTTTGTGTTTTTGACTTCCCCTATATAAACCATTGAAAGTAGGTCAGAAACAAAGAACTGTAATTTCCAATACAATTTTAACAGGACTATAATTCACACTTAAATAAATCTTGAAATATTTCATCTTTTTGTTAAACAAATAAAATCATTGGGAAAAACACTTTTAATAGAAGTTTTCTGGCAAAATATATAGACGTTTTTATGAAAATTTGCGATGCAAGAGTTATCTCCCGTGGCATCGGTAAATCTGCTAAACACATTTTGATCGGAATCCTAGTGAAATATTTAGAATCGATACACTAAAGAAAATTATTAAACACAAAATAAATAATTTATTTTCAAAATATAATTCATTTTCACCTCTAAACATAATATTTAGATTAAAATTGGCTATAAGATTCAGGTTAAATCCACGTTTCCATTGATGTATCAGTGACGTCATAATATTGCGTCACAGTGAAATAGTTACAAGTTTTCCAGACAAGTTTGTAAATTCTTTGCGTAAAGTGTAAAGAAAAATATTTCTAAAAAAATGATTTCTCTTTTTCTGTTAAATTCTCTTCAGCGTGCATTATACTAAATGTTAAATAATATTTTAATATCAAAATGTATTTTACACAGTACACGGGCGGCGTCTCAGCAAGATGACGTTTTGATAAGTAATTTTATACATGACCGAGAACTAATTTTTTAAAATTGAATTACCAGGATATGCGTTAAAATAATTAATGAAGTGTTTATAATGATTCAGAACATTTCTTATAAAATTGGGAATCAATGATGAATGCTTTAGATTTACGCAACATTTAATTCAACGAAGTTGGTAGATGTAAAAACTAAAACTTAAATACATTTATCTATGCAATCAAATCAAAATAAATGATCTACAGTACGATTAAAAAGGGGGAAAAACTGAAAAATAAGTTATAAAAATATTACTGCTGAACTCTCGACTATAATTTGGCACTATAACGGAAGGTGGTTTGGTGAAACATTTTTTAAAAAATTTTATTTCTTAATTTTTATTCGGCGATTGAAACAATCACACGCTCATATTTAATATGGAGTATAAACCTGTGACTATGTTGACCAATGCTAAAATGTTTTCACGTTCATGAAACCAATTTTTAAAAATAATTATGCCATGACCACGCACCCCCCCCCCCTTCCATGCTTCTTACTTGCGATTTATCGGCTCTTGACTAATTATAATTTACATGAAAGAACCTATTTTCTTATTTATATAAAATCAAATTTTGTAAAAGAGGAAAAGGCTTTACAGATGACAGGTAAGAAAAAACTTGGATAAAGTCGAGACTGTAGATCTACACATAAAAATATTTCTTGCATTTAGGCAATTTTAATTTCGCTACTGATAGAATTTACTCTGTAATTCCTGAGACAAATAAAAAAGAAATTTTACTTGGAAATAAGATGAATAGTGAAGCTAGAAAGTTGTCTGCTCTCGCTTGTTGCATAATTCATGCACAAATACTTTTTTCAAAATACCTAGTATCTATTTTAAGAAATCAATCAGATCAGATGTTTTTATTTACATGTAAGCTTCATGTAAGTAAAAGACATTGGTTATTTAAATAATACATACATTTGAATCTATGGTTACACTCAAAAAAACTGTATATATGATCCATTGATTATTGTTTTCTGGATCAGCCAGATATTCATTGTTCAATGGTCTAATTTTCATTGTTGGATGTTGATTGTTCAAATACACCTACCCCTCTCAAAGTAAAAACTTATACAAAGATTGAGCGGCTTATTTCAATAAACATCCTGCGAAACATTTATGGTACATCTGCTAACAAAATAAGCAATGATGAGTATATTGCGTGTTTATTTCATTGTATTTGTATACGATTTCTTTATTTAAATTTACAGACAGCTGTCGAGAAAGAAATCAATACAAAAAAATTACTTTAACATAAATACATATATATATATATAGTTACATATAAATGTAAGGAAAAAATATAGGAATCATGACTTTTTAGTGTCTAAATCAAATAAATGCAAATGACTGAACTGTTTTAAATAAAAATTATAATAAATAAATAAATGCTGACGCTATATTTATTCCCATTTTGACAGTGTCTTTCGAAAACCTATCTTTTAAATTAAAATGACAAAGAGATTTTAACCTTGTCTCTAATTAAATTTGTTGTTATGATAAGTAAAGATTGAAAAAATAACGATGTTTTAGGCCCCAGCTGTTTGCTATATAAAATCTAGCTTTTCATTAATTTGTCGTTTTAAATATTTACATAACTAAGGTGTTGCAGGTCATGCATTTTCAAAATTTGGTAGAGGGCTAAATGCCCATTTAAGTCGTGCTAAAGTTTGAGAGTTTGACGATTACGAGACAGTATAAAGAAGATATTTAAAAGTAGAATAAGTTTTGATGGTTTGACCCAAGACGTCAGAGGGACGGATACACGGGAATTAAAAATTATGCTTCCATTAAAGGCCTTCTCCATACATGTAACAGACTACCAACTAGCTAAATAAAAAAGTTAAAATGTCAGAAAGACTATGACGTATGCACGACAGTTGACAGTATATTACTCAGGTGGATTCAGAAATGTTGGGTTGAAATTAATACCATGATTATGTCGTATTGTAAATATTTAGATTAATATTGATTCAAACACTTCATGATTGTTTCGACTCAATTATCCAGACAAGTGCTAGCAGTGCAGACGGAACTAGAAAAATTACACAGGCAGAGAGAGACTCACAAAATGCTGTTCAAGGGCCTAGAAATTTATCATTCCGGAAGTCCTATAATTATACAGACCATGAGTAAGTGATACAAAGTAATTTTCTTTTTAATTTAAAAAGAAATTCCTTTTCTTGAAAATAAATTTTCAAAAAGTTCACATTTTCATTGTCATATGGAAATTGAAGAAATAACCCCCGCCTTTGAAAAGTTCGGACTTTGTAAATACATTGTATATACATGTACTGAATATTATACATTATAGATTTAGATTAGTTGTTGAACATTCCTGCAATTGAAAGAAAAATGGTTTTTTAGGTCTTTCCACCTTTCTGTGGAAAGACCTATTGATTTTCTTCTGTTTTTATTTTTTATTAGGTCTTTCCAGCTTTCTCTGGAAAGACCTATTGATTTCCTTCTGTTTCTTCTTTTCCTTATTAGGTCTTTCCACCTTTCTGTGGAAAGACCTATTGATTTCCTTCTGTTTCTTCTTTTTTATTATTTTTCCGCCGTGTGATTTTTTGTTTCAAGATTTATCGAAAAGATTTATAGTCCATAAAAATGTCCTCCATAAAAGATTATTGCAGTTCACCCTGCGTAAATGAACCTTGACCCCTTTCGAAGTTATTGCCCCTTTCGCAAGAAATGCTTGTTATCGCTACTCCTTCGAAACCGTAAACCATAGAGGTATGAAACCTTCACCAATGTCTTCGAATAATTAAGGAGATTCTTCAATCTATTCATTGCGAAAGCATTCGGTGACCCCTTCAATGAGTTATTGCCCCTGAAACTTTTTGAATCTAACAAATAATTAATTTTTTTTAAAACGACAAGTTGTAGAGACATGGGACCAACTGCATAAGATTTATTGACCTTTGACCTTAAAATTCATGTAAAGGTCAAAGGTCAAGGTCATTCCAGAAATGAGAAATTTAGCTCTTTTTATATCTCTTTTGTCTTTCAACATATACGTAATGTCTATGCATCATAAGTATGTACTCTTAAAACTGTTTCAAACATTTCCTTCTTGTCCCCTAACATTAACCCCTTTAAATGTTATTTCCCCTTGTGCAAAAAACCTTGTTATCGCTGCTTCTCAGAAACTGTAGACCCTACACACACCAAACCTTCACTAATGTCTTAAGGGTCTTTAGACCTAACTTCACTGTAAAAGTGCGAAAGGGTCTGATGACCCCATATATGAGTTTTTGCCCTTTAACGTCTTTTTACTTACTATTAAACCTTATAACTTGAAAACTATAAGTGGTAAAAATATTGGGTTAACTGCATTGTGACCCTTGACCTTTGACCTTGAATATTTTTCAAGGTCAAAGGTCAAGGTCATTCTATTTTTAATTTTTTTTTTAATCCTTTAAGATAATTTTGGTTTCTTATTCATGGAATTTAATTTTAAAGAGGAAGATGTAAAACAAAATTAAATTTCAAAGAAGGTGGAAAGACCTCTTATTGTTCTGTGAACAATAAGTCTCCTAGTTAGGTCTTTCCAGCTTTCTCTGGAAAGACCTATTGATTTTCTTCTGTTTTTTTTTTTCTTTTTTATTATTTTTCCGCCGTGTGATTTTGAGTTTCAAGATTTATCGAAAAGATTTTTAGTCGACAAGAATGTACTCCGTAAAAGATTTTAGCAGTTGACCCTGCGTATATGAGCTT